TATATATATTAGTTACCTATTCAGAAATGATTTTCTTCTTTGGTCAATCTCCTCTTTAACCACTAAACCCATCCTACTAGCTAAACAGAAAATGTTGCTTGGTATAGATAAAGAAACTGCAGCACTTAGCATAATAATCAATAGATAACAATGAAAATGTGAGAGACAAGCATACATACCACACACCCATCTATATTATATAATATGTAATATTTCCAATAGTTTACCTAAACAGTTTTAGGGATGAAAATTGGGCACAAAAGGACTTGAAAAATCTATGTTGGGAAGAATGTGTGTCACTGGAATTCTGATTCCTGGAGCATTTATATTACCAAGGCCTGGATTTAGCCAGAGATGCCATTTATATATACATCAAAATAACATTCTATTATCTTAACCTGAGGCTGCTAGGAATGGCATGTAAGTATGTGCCATGCCCACTCATTGTTTAGTTTATTAATTATCTTCATACATAGATGGTTCAACAAGTACTTAGTCACAAATGAGCCAATTACTAGTACTACCTATCTCACATGCTTACCCTTTTCCTTGATTTTTGGAAATATTTTTTTTATCTTATATTGCTGGTAGTTGTGTCAGTAATGTTTTACTGATAATGTCTTTAATGATGTAAGAGCATTGACATTGAGATCATTAGGATAAAAACAAAACAAAAAACAAGGAAAGGTGTAATTAGGTGAGATTACATGGTCCTTGAAGACAAATCACTTATGGAGCCATCTCTGTATAAGGACATTTCACAAAACAATACAGACTATATTTTCTCACTACATTTTCTCTCCTGCTGTCACAACAAGATCTCTAGATGCCATACTAAGCCATGCGCTGAGCTTGGTGGGCAGTCATTCACTCAAGTGGAAATTAGAAGCACAGGAAATATACATTTACCCTGCTTTCTATGCTATTAGCCTTAGCACAAAGGATTGTTCAGAAATGTCTAAAAAGAGGCTTTCTGCCGACTTTAGAGGGGCTCCTTCTCAGTGATTGCAGTCAGGGCCAAACAAGCCCACAACTAACAGCAGTTTCAATTACATATGACATGGTAGGACATCTTGTGTGAGTGACAGTTTCTCTATGACACCATAGGTCGTCATTCAGCATGAGTTGGGTAAAGCTCATCATTAATACATTAGGCCCTCTGTATCAGCAGGTTCCTTATTCACAAATTCAGCAAACTGCAGATTTTTAAGACAAGAAAGTTCCATACAGCAGAACTTTAATTGATATTGTGCTGAAGACTACAATTAATCCATGCAAATGAAATAATGTGTTGGCATACCCTGATGCAGCCTTCTTCCATTTCACATATCTCCATTCATTCTGAAGCACTGGGGTTCTAATAATTTTTAAGAATAAGGCTATATTTTCCCATGATATAATTTCTTTATACGTATATGTAATGCTGCTTCTGTCTACTATGTTGATAGCACAGTCTTTTCTGTCTTGGCATTATTAGATGAAATGTAAATACTGACAGCTGATTGTACTGTAAAAATACCTAACCTCTGAATGCCTCAAAAGTCAGTGACAGGCTGATTAAAAGTTATTTTTATTGGGATTATCCCTTATTAAAGACCAGTTGTTCCTAACCATGGAAGCCCTTAAACTGCTGATATTTTCTTAGGTTCAGTTAAATTTTTAAAATTAAAGAAATAAGGTCTACTTGAAGCAAAATATTATTATGTTTGTAGTTTATAAAAGGAAATTTAATTTTGATCATTACAACTCTAAAACAGTTACATGCTATGAATTAATGCATTAGCTCTTTTAAAGAATGATACATTATTAGGCTTAATTTATATAGAAAAAAAACTGGAAATACACAATTTAATTAATATTAGAGTGCCAACAACTTCCTTCAATATATTCCCAGGAATAAATGATATTTTGGTGGTAAGTTTACAGATAAACATTACACATTACAAACAGTGATTCAAATTCTGATCACAGAAATGAAGGACATGAAGTAAAAACCAGCAGGAGAAAATCAAAAGCAAAAGGAATTGGTTGATCACTTTGGGATGGATGTTACTAGCATGTTTTATGTTGAATATAAAAATTTAAAGAAGCTTGAACATTTGTTTTTCCTTTTCCAGCCAAGGAGGCCACTCGCACAACATCTTATACAGCAGTAGTTTTGGTAGGAGTGGGAGTGACAGGACTTATGCTTTACTCTGTGTTTAAAGAGCTTCTGTCATCCTTCTCGCCACAGGTACTGTATTTATTATTATTATTATTTTTTTCATGGTCCAAGTTTGTTATTTTGTTAATCCTATTAACTGTATCGTACATTTCTTTTTAGAAAATAAGTAAAAATTATTTAATGTGGGTAACTGAAGGTTTGGTTGAACTGCTTGAATTTTTTTTACATTAGTATGAGCTGCTTCAAGGTTGCAAAATAAGTATATGTTTGCCTTTGGGCAGCAAATATTATTCATTGCATTTTTAGACATAATTAGATTAATATAAAAGGTAACATGGGCAAATAGTTTTACATTTATATTTTCTCATATGATACACTGTGTATTAAAGGTATTGGATATCTGTGAATACATACACCATGTGCATATTTAGTGGTAAACCTCAAAAATATAATATCTGTGGATATGTGAAGTGCCATTAATATATAAAACATTTATGTAAACCATGTATACAATTCCTGAGCCAGCTGGCATGGAAGGATGCATTCCTTTCCTTGTTTGTGGACAACATAAGGCACCTAAAAGCTTGTATTTTGATACAGTTTTTTCAAATATAAAATATTTGAAGGTTTGCCTTCACTTAAGGTACTATTGCCTGAAAGTGTTACCCTGGAAATGATGCCATAACTATCAGAGAAAAGCAAGCTCCATCTGATGAGTCAGCAGCACAGGCATGGTTGTAGTATGATGCCACCCACTACTTTGTCCACTACAGCCGTGACACCTGTTAAAGATATTTTACCTAAAAACTTAAAGTAAATGATACATAATTGTGAAATGGTGTGGCTACACGGACATATATTCATGTTTGTTTTTTATCTTTTAAATATTTTGAGTTTAACCACTAGTTGTTAGGAGGGATGTATGTACATGCCATGGCTGTTATGGACCAAAAAACGGATCATGACCATTCCCGCACCATTGGTTTGTCGGACAGAGATTGTTTTATTCTGATAGTAGCAGCTTCATTTTTTTTGTAAAGATTTCAAGCAATAGCATCTAAAGTGAATATGTTTATAAGTTATAGTAAAATCAAAGTTTTTAGATGCCAAACTACCGAACAAGCCAGGCACAAATGGGAAACTGCTGATACATGCCAACTATCCCCTTATTACGTCCATTTGCCAAACTTTTTAACCCAGCAGCATTGGGTTAAAAGTTACAAGCAAAGGACTTTTACTTAATTTGATTTCTAGTTTCTTTTATTTCATATATATA